GTATATATATATATATATATATATATATATATATATTAGTATGTATATACGCACACACACACACACACTTTTCACATTAAAATTAAATTGAACCATAATACTGTTTTAGTGCATATCTGTAGTGTGGCTCACTGGCCAGAACTCAGAAAATCAATGTTGTTAGGTAATGATTGCTAGATAGTAAGCAGAGAAAAGGGTCCAGGGGTCATCCACATACAGGTCAACATATTCACTGCCCACAATATAGACAAGGGACTTTTATGGTGTTTGATTATGCATCTTTTACTCCTGAAATCATGTTACCAGTGATTCTGCTTCTGATGGGCCTTTCTGGCCTCACTTTGCCAGTCCAAGCTGCACCGGTATGTAAACGTGTGAAACTGCTTCGAAATAGCTTAAACATATATGTTTAATTGAGTGATATTACACTGCGATTTGAATTAAATTGTGTCAAATGTTTCAGGGTCTTTTGGATGACATTTTAACTTTATTTGATGGTGAGAAATCTTAACATTTTGGTTGGTGTCTGTTAATGTGTTTGCAAGGTTATTAGCATACACACGTCATTATTATTACTCTCGCCCCTTGACAGAAATATATGACTACGCTGTTAGTGACACCACAGAGGAAATATCCTCAGCTGAAATTAATGAAAGCATTGATTGGATTTTTTCCTTCTTTGATGAACCAGGCAAGAACTTAAGTACTTAAGCAGACAGTGCAAATGTATTAAAGGGGTTCAGTTTGGTGCTCACAAACATATGTACGCTGATCATGTTCAATACTTCTGTAGAAGTGTGTGATCCAAATCCATGCCAGAACAATGGAGTATGCGAGGTCCTAGAGAGTGGCGGCTTCAAATGCATCTGTAAAGAGCCTTACATTGGCAAAAAGTGCCAGGATGGTGAGATCTTAATAAGCTATACCTACAAATAATTATTAATCAGTAAGAGTGTGCATTATTCTTGAGTTTTCATGTTGGGATCTTCTAGAGAGGAACGTGTGTAAGAAAGTGAAGTGTGGTCATGGTGATTGTGTCAGAACTCAAGAAGCCCCATTTTATGAATGCAAATGCCGCCCCCCATATAGAGCCCCTACGTGCAAGAAAGGTGAGCGTCCCTGTCTCCCATATCTGAAATAAAGCAAATTACTTTCAAAGTGATTCTTTCAGTAGTAAAGATGCGAGTTTAGTGATTATTATCAATGAGTTCATTAAAACAGTTTTATGTCAGATTGTAGTGAATTGCTACTTATTTTCTGTCTAAGTTTGTCTTTTTAATTGCTTTTATACTTATGTTTACAATATTAGCCTCTGCTTGTGACCCGAGTCCATGCCTGAATGGAGGAAAGTGTGTTAAAGGCCGTACCAGAGCCAGTTTCACATGCAAATGTGCTGAAAATTACAGTGGGAGATTCTGCCAAGTTGGTAATAAACAGTTTTGTTTTTTTTTTCATTTATTTTATGCCAAACCGATTGGTATTTTAAAGCTACACTAACTTTTTCCCAAATTGCCTAAACTACATTTAAATAATGAGCCAGTACATCACAAAACGATCTTCCAAACCGTGTTTTTGTCTTACCCTAAATCACTATGGTAAGCCTATAATAAGTTTTTATATTTTAGAGTTGTCGGGACAGATTTCCCGGGAAACGGCAAACTTCAGCGTTGCCAAACATTATTTTAAAACAACTGATTTCAACAAGTCACAACGTACCTGCTCATAAGACATATTTTTCATATATTAGTCTTTCGTTGTTAGGAAAGTTTTGATGTTTTTAGTGACAATCGCACTAACAAGGCGATCATCTGTAACCATAGCAACAGCGGTCCGACTCAAGCTATCAGGTTCAGCCGAAGCACAACTCAAGCAAACAACGTTCTTCCGCAAGTAACTTATGTAGGTGTATGAATCAACCACAAGAGGGCCAAAAATCACATAGTGTAGCTTTAAATAACCTTATAAACTAGATGTAATAATGTCGTAAACACATTATGTCATTTTGTATTCAGGTCCAAATGATTGTTATGAGGGGAATGGGGAATCATACATAGGTTTTGTCAGTCAGACAGTGGAAGAAATGGAATGTTTACCATGGAACTACTATCGTATTCCCTTCAAGGAGTTTGAAGGGAATGAGAGCATTGGCGCCCACAATTACTGCAGGTTAGAATTTGGTTTTAGTAAATCTCACAATGAATTGTGGTATAACATGTTGCCTTAAGAATTATCTTTGTCAATTAAGAAATCCGGATGGAGACCGGGAGCCCTGGTGCTTTGTGAATGACAAGGGGAATCTCCGGTGGGACTACTGTAATGTCAAGCCATGCTCTGAACCAGGCACAGATTTTCCTTCTACTTTTTATTTTATATAAATGCAAAAACAGAAACATATGTTCTTCAGTCTGCTCTAGCAGTCTGTGTTAACTGCACCATATACTTATTTACCAAACTCTCACAGAACCAGTAAAACCCTCCACAGCCCCTGCAAAACTGCAGTTTTCTGACTGTGGAAAGACTCAGGCTATGATTGCCCCAAGGATATTTGGTGGGAGGAAGTCTCTGCCTGCAGCCCATCCATGGCAGGTCTCATTTCAGGTCCGTCCCAAGGGCTCTAATGGATCCTTCAGCCACAACTGTGGAGGAACACTTATTGACTCCTGCTGGGTCCTAACTGCTGCTCACTGCATGTAAGTTTGGGGGTGGTGGTGTTGCATTAGGTCTATGTAATGTTCAATCAGAAAACTCTTACTTTTATTTTATGTTGTCTTTAAGTTGCAAATTCTGTTAAATTCTATTGAATATTATTGTTGATGTTGTACTTGCTTTTTACAGTAGTTTTTCCTTTGAAAATTCATATGCAACAAATATCAGTTTGATAAACTATGTTTGCATGGTTTGCATGATCATGGCAGTGATGAGAACGAGGAGGTAAGGGTGGAGATGGGTGGTGTGAACCTGGAGAAAGATGATCCTGCAAAACAGTTTCTTGAGGTGGAGAAAATCATTGTTCATGAGAACTATACAGAGACTCCTGAAGCCCTGTATAATGATATAGGTCAGTGATTCACTATTTAAGTGAACATCTATCTGTCTGTCTGTCTGTCTGTCTATGTCGTTTTTTATTTTTGTCTGTTCTGTCTGTCTACCATTCTATCATTCTAACTTACCATGTCAATCATTCTATCATCCATCCATCCTAGCATTCTATCATTCCATCTATCATTCTAGCTGTTAGGGTAAAAGAAAACTAACCAACTTCAGTTAGGAAATAATCTTGTATATTCAAGTTTTGAGTTTATAGACTGTACATTTTATTATTTGTGGTGTCAATACCTTTGATTGGATGAACACAATAGCAAGTTATAACATTTTGATTAAAAAGTAAATAAATAAATAAAACATTCAGGATTAAGAGTGATAACTATAACTAGTGTCCACACCAACACAATAATTTTCAGTTTATTATAAGTGTGTGCTGCAGTTATGTCATATGCTGTGGATGGATTCTGGCTGTCAATGTTTTTTATCGTTCATTAGCTAAAAAAAAAAAACTTTAAGTGATTAGAATTACAGTTTTTCTCAGTTGCTTTGGTGCATTTCTTGAATTATTCCTTAATATTCGCAAAGAAGTATGTGCATTTCTCAACAATTTGTACAATCAGCACCACACAATGGATTTCATGCAAAAGCCTGTAACTTACTCAAAATCTTTAGTTCACCTCTCAAAAATATTTATGTCAATATCAGTGCCATCAGAATGAAAAGTCCTTGTGTCATTGTTCACAAACAATATAGGCAAAATGCTTAGTCTTGTTGTCAATATAACACTGCACTCTGTTAGTATTACCTGATGTAAACTATGGCAACAGTTTGGATGGCAGTTTCTGTATTGAAATGCAGAAGGCTGCACTTCTTCTGCATGCCATATCCATTTCTAAAGTACAAATTTACACACTACTGTATGTGGGGTATTGATTGAAAGAGACTGGATAGGATTCACAGTACACTGTCATTGTGATATAGAAAAGAAAAGTAAATATGGGTACAAAGGCGAAAATACAAAATTAGAAAGGCAAACACCGGAAACCCACCTCAGCCATTGTAAGCCATGATTGACAGTTAGGTTTAGGGGTAGGGATTGGGTTAAGTCTATATTTTTGGACAGTTATGTTGATCCAGGATCAACAAATGATGTTGATCCAGGAACATGTCTTACTTGGCAAAATCACGGCGACCGATTTACAACATAGTCCACAATAGCGGCCCTTATTTCATCTGATGTGCGCCTACGTCATGCATCCTTATGGATGAACATCCAGGAAATTACCAGGATCAACAGCTGAGAGGAGGAATAGGAGATTCCTCCTCTCAGCTGTTGATCCTGATCATTTCCTGGATGTTCATCCATTGTCAGAATTTGTAACTCTTGTGTTGTCCTCTGTCTATATGCTTTCCAATTGAAGGTTCATGAGATGCACCTTTGAGCTATTTCAGAGAACTGGTTTATAATTGGTGGATCTCCATTCTCTTTGTTAGTGAAAGTAAAGATTCACTTCCACAATTCATGGCAAATTTGCAAGAAGTCTAATAGAAATGTGTAGAAAATATGCTTGACAGTTTATGACAACTAGATCAACCATTTTGCATTTAATTGCTTATACGATGAACTAATGACTAGATGTTTTGAGGGGTAAGACTATTGCAAAGAGAACTATATAATACATTTTGAGCAACATGACATTAGCAACTGATAATGTAGGAAACCACAGACAAATATACATAATCATTTGCATGAATGTACCAAAGCAATCGCAACTTGTTCAAAAGAATGAGAAACTTTTATGATAGATAGAGCTTTTATGATGTGCACAAGTGACTATAGATGATGTGGAGGTTGAACAAGCAGTTCTAAGAATTTAATTTCTGATCTAAGAAATGCACCAAAGCGACTGAGAAAAAACTGTATATTGTTCCTCTGTGTCGTTATCCTTGTTGTGGTGTGTGAATTGTTCAAAAATAAAGTTATAGTGATCGTTATATTTATCATTCTTTGTGTAAACAGCCTTAAGATCAATAAAATGTATTTAAAATTAGAAAGAGTGAATTTTCCTTTCATGCTGACTTCAATTTTTGTGACATTAAATGACTTAAAAAAATAATGCACATGAAGCATATAGTTTTACCGGAGGTTTAAAAAAAATAAAAAGACATCCCAGGGTGAAGCGCATTGTGAGCAGCCTACAGTAGTAGGCTATTAACATTCTTTTTAAAAACCAGTTATGTCAAACTCAGTGCTTTTGTTTCTCATCTATGCCAGCACTGCTGAAACTGAAGGCAATAAATGGACGGTGCGCCAATGAGACCAGGTCCGTTAGGGCAGCATGTCTTCCCACCGATTCATTCCCCGATGAAACAATGTGCACCATATCAGGCTATGGAACCACTGAGAAAGGTGTGGTTTCCACATTCAATTTTCACTGTAGACATTCACCATAGCAACACCTGCCTCTGAGAAGATCTGTCATCTATTACTCTTTCTTCCAGAGTATGCTGTCTCTCCTCAGCTGCTGGATGCCAAAGTTCTCTTAATCTCTCAGAAGCGTTGTATGTCTCGTAATGTCTACGGGAACAGACTGGATGATTCCATGATGTGTGCTGGATATATGCAGGGAAAGACTGACTCTTGTCAGGTGTGTTCCAGTCTCAAATTAGTTTGTCTTTCAGCGAAATTTCTATTAATATACATCAAACACAAAATCTTATTTAAAATGATTGTGCAAACTGATGGCGCAGTACGCAATTTTTTATTAATTATTTTCACTTTTTATAGGGTGACTCTGGTGGACCCCTGGTTTGTCAGAAGGACGAGACTCATTACATCTATGGTGTGGTGAGTTGGGGTGACAGCTGTGGCAAGAAGAACAGGCCCGGTATCTATGCCCGTGTCACCAAGTTCATTGACTGGATCAATGAAAAGATGCGTGCAGCTTAGGATGGCTACTCAAAAGGTTTGAGTCAATGATAGTTAATATCATAATCGAATAGCTGGAGGAGGTTTTACCTGATAAAAACCAAATTCAAATGTATGCATGTACCTATGTGTATATATAATTAGGCAGAAAAGACCAATTCAAAATGGTTTCTTGGGTGATTAGCCCTTCAATAATGTCACTTTTGTGATTCATGTTCATATTAAGGTCACAATGAAATGGAAGTAGTGACATTTTTCCTGTATCTGAGTGTAACGGACTGCCACAAAAAAAAAAAAAAAAGTAGGATGGGGGCTTGGTTCTAGGCATCAGCTATGGATTGGATTTTGGTATGCTTGCTGGGGCAGTTTAAGTAGACTAAATGGATAAAAAAAAATAAAAAAAAAATGGATAAACTAACAGTATGATCTATGTGCATTTAGGAAAAACATAGGGTGAAACTAACTTCATACTGACTTTATTAGCTCATTACGAATTTATTTTGCCTTTTGTTTTAAGACTCGAGTAACATTTTTCAAAGTCAATCATGTTTGTACACAAAGTAAAAATGTTTAGTAAGTCTTTGACAAATTTACTTTGGAATAAAACTTCAGATTTTAAAGTCTCACCAAAAGCCATTGAGTATGAATCCATGAATGATGTCACACATGATACCAATACTTTGTATCAACGCACAATTTATTTCCAGTTAATGAGTTTAATTTGCTTCTTTAACACCAAACATAAGACACTGAAAAAAACTAGTAAAAAGTAGGTATACATCAAATCAGCCATGCTCAGAAAAAGAAAACCTTTTATTATTCACATGGAAATTATGACCAAGTGAGCATGTCACAAATGATAGAACTCTTCCGGAGATGTGAAATAAGTTCAGATATCTGCCTTATAATAGGTTTTCACAAAAGGACTTGCACAGGATCTTTCTGCAAAAAGAATAAATGCTGCAGCCAAAATTTAAAGAAAATCAAATCAAGGCGTTACACAGGAGCAATCAGGAGAATACTGGAAACAGCCAAGCACTCTGCACCGCAACACGCCACCTTAACAGCTAACCAGCAAAACTCAACTGCTACGCAACTGCGCCTAGTGCATAGAAAATACACAAGAGAGAATATTAGAATCATGTTGTTGTGAAATTTTTTCCATTTAAACCATAACACCTGCTCAGTTCGCAAGCTTTGATGTCACGGTTTTACATAAAGTTTTTTTTTTTAGTGGCCAAATTTCAGTCTCTACCCAGCCCTTTAAGGTTAAAGAAATATTCACAACATCCAAAATTGTCCATTAATAAGCGTTTATTAAGAACAAAAAACTCATTAAAATGAACTTACTTTAGTCTGGGAGTTTCAAAAACAAAAAACAAACTACCAAAAATGAAGAGAAGCGATTTCACCTAGTAGCCCAATTTAGGCATAAAGATCATTTAATATCACATGAAATTCAAATGTATGAGACAAAAACAATTGTGGGCAACAGAAAGAACAACAAGTAGTCATTTAAAAGATTTAGACCAAATTACAATAACCTTTCGGTCTGATATATGGATAATTTGGGTATCCTCAGATGGACATCTGTGCGGTGCGATCCTCGAAGATTCTACCAGCTGACATCATCTAGAAGAAAAGAAGTAGTAAGTTAGTTTCAAGGAGCAAAGCAGAGGGGGTTCTACAGGAACCGTCATAAAATGAGGCATTGCATATTACGCAACGCTCGATAACTGGTCCTCAGTTATACAGAACAAACGGGCACTCTTTCCACACATAACGAGAAACTTGCCATATTTAAAATTAATCTATGGACCTCATTTTTGTTCTGCAAGAATCCTCATGTACCTCATGTTTGTTCTGCGAGAAACCTCATGGGTAGAGAGCCAACAAACCTGAGGGTGAAATTAATTTCTCATAGCCACTTTAAGTGTCGGCAAGCTGAGGTATACTTTATTGGCAGTTAGAACTAATTACTCAAAGAACTAAATTATAGGCCTGTTTAAAATCAGATACCCAGTAGCCTTGACAGCTTAAACTAGCTCCAAGAACACACCCCATATCCATACCGCTTTTGCCTATGCCACGATAAACATGAGTTTGTGACAAGGATGATGAAAAGGTCTCAGTCCATTGTCCTGCAGACGTACCTCAACACCACCTCAACACTCAATGAGACCGACCTGCTCCATAGCAACCGCCAATCAGCAGCAGGCAGCCAATGGTCGGATCACACACTAACTGCTCTCAAACTGCCCCAAACTCCTCTTTTGCAAACAGGAATCAGCAGCTTGGAGGAAAAAATTCCACATTTAGATGAAATCAATGGATTTTGGCTGGTACACGTTTCAAAACAAGCATACTTACGGTATCATACCCATGACAGCTCCAAATCAAACATCCATTGTCAGGTTTAGGATGTGAATTAAAAATAAACCCTTAAAAGTCATGCAGAAACGGAGAAACCAGACAAATGCTGTGAATAACAGCTCTAAACTAAACTTGGGTAATACCTGAAACCTTTAAGATAATGCATCTACCGATCTACTACATCTGCAGAGGTCTTGAAGGACTTGGTTAAAGAGAAAAGTAGAGGGGCGAAACATTAAATATAACATTTTAAGCAGCCATTTTAAGTGAGCAGTGAGCCACGTATGTATTCACTTTACACCACTTCGGGCATGAGTTATAATGGGGTGATTCGCTGGTCTGCTTTAATCAAAATTCTAATTAAATCAAAAGGGATATTAACTATTAAAAAAAAAATTATAATAAATGCACTTGTCATTACAATTCTTGGGTGACAATACAAATTCCACCAGTTGCAAGAAAATTAGGAATATATTTTCAAACAAAGCATTAGGCTCACCTATGTTTCAGCTCAGGATTCAGCAGTGGCTCCAGTATCCTCTGGAGATTTGGGTCTGCTTCTCGATCTGGATCGTGATTTGGATCCTTTGTTTGATCTGGGAGTATGGCTCCTGGAGCGAGACTTGGACTTAGACCTTGAACGGGACCTGGAAGCCGATTTGGACTTGCTTCTGCGTGGTGTGCGGGTTTTGGAGCGGGAACGGGACTTAGATCGGGACTTAGAACGGGAGTAGGACCTGGATCGGCTGTAGCGGGATCTGCTACGGGAACGGGACCGGCTTCTGCTCCTGGATCTAGACCTGCTGTGCCTCCTGCGCCGAGGACTACGGCTAAAAACAATTACATTAACAAATTAGTATGAGGATTAGGGCTGCACAATTAATCGAATTTCTCAGTTCTCGAAGTTTTTCAGTTAGAGTGTTTTCAGCTTGTTTATTTTCATATAAAAACATGGCATGCAGTTGCATCAAACAATGGTATAAACATAATTCAATATAAATTGTGATAATGGTAATTAATAATTGCAATTACAATTTCAATGATTTTTGTCAATCGTGCAGCCCTAATGAGGATTGTTTGCACAAAGCAAGCAGCACTTGGTGTTACAGTATTACAAAACACCAAACAATCTTTATAATTAAAAGGTAAGCAGCTTATACACGTTTAAATGTGAACGTACACAAGAACGCGTCTGTTTGCATGTACATCCAAGGTTAATTGTCTTCACCAAAACCAGTAATTCAAATATAATTACCATACATTATCGCAATCAAACCACAAAAACTCGTAGCACAATGATGGAAAGTTTGATTCATTTCCAAGAATCGGTTCTTTCGAATAATTCGGTTAAAAAAACTTATACTAATTTAAATGTTACGTAATCACGTGGCCTCCAAATATTTTTGTTATTTAAAAATTACTATTATATTAAAGAGAGAGTGCTGTAATAAAACCGCTCGGAATGGGTTTGGTTTTCAAACTCAAACGTTACAATCGATTCAAAAGAACCATTCGATCACGAATTGCTACTTTGGTTCGTTCACAAAGTTGAGCCATTGTTTGGTACTTCGCCACAGATACGACGGAATGATACTAATACTTTAAAAACGGGAAACTGTTTGAAAAACTCAATGAATTAAGCCGTTTACGGCGATAAAACATCGCGTTTATAAGCAAAACAAAGATTTTAGCACGTGTGGTTTTGCTACCTTGAGGCCTGAGGGCCTCAAATTTACGGGCCTCAGATGTGAACGTTGAACGGTAACTTACAGTGGTTTAAAACGAAAATATGAAGAGATTGCGTATGTGGGCCTTACCTTCGGCTTCTCCGTCCATGTCCTCCGTATCTCCTCGGCGGGCCTCCGCGGCGGCTGTAATGCGAATCTGGCGGGCGCCCGTATCGTGCCATCTGCACGCGCAGTTCGCGGCCGTCCAGCAGCGCGCCGTCCATGGCGTCCATTGCATCCTCCGCGTCCCGCTTATCATGAAAACGGACAAAGGCGAACCCGCGGCTCTCTTTTGTGTACCGGTCTCTCGGGATATAGACGTCCCCGACTCGGCCGTATTTCTCGAAAACCCGCCGCAGCGTTTCAGGGGACGTGCGGTACGTCAGATTGTCGACTTTTAAAGATGTCATGCCCTCGACGTCAGGCGGAGGTCTGCCGTAACTCATCTTGAATCACTAACCCTACTGCAGTATGTTATGCGAAAAATAAAAGAGCTACTTGCGAGATTTTCAGGAAAAATATCGAACCATTCGGGAGCGTCCAAAGAAACACACCGAGAGCAGATAACTCTCTAAAATGGCGGTAACCGGATGTTCGTGGTCGGTGGAGGTTGGCTTTTATTTTCTCTGCAAGGAGAGAAAATACCATAGACTGTATGGAAAATACTGCCACTTCTGGTATCTAAGTGACACTACAGGTGACCTGATCTCACAATCTCCTCTTGGGAACAGAGACTTGCAAATTTAGCAGGAGTTTAAACAAAATGTAACAAACTAGATCATTTATTTGACGTCGCCATGCTCATTTAATCCGAATTTCCAAAACTGAATCCAAATTTAAATAAGCAGCCCAATGAAACTAACGATATATATGTATTGTATAGTATATTAACTGATTTTAACTGATATAAATGATCAAATAAATAATATAAATGATTAATTGATAATGATAATAAAACAAAATGAAGAAACCAAAGAAAATAAAACAGCACAGTTGCTCTCTTGAAGCAACACACACGCAGGCTGCTACTGAACTGCTACTGTAACTTGTCTGTGAAATGTTTTTTATACAGTGACAAATGCGAATAATATAAAAAATAATACATTTCAATTTAAATTAAAACAGAGCTAAGTGACACTAGGGCCACTGAATGAACACCAGTTGAGGTTCCCTTACTGCACTGCAGTGAATCACATCCAAAAATTCGGGGAAGGTCACGTTTGGCGAGGCAGGATGTGTTTGTAGGCTACTGCGCAAAAACCTCAAGTCTGGATTTAAGCCTGACGTCAGGGGTGGCCAATAGCGCTTCTGAGGACAGTAATACAGCCCTGATCATTGAGCAGCAAATCTTACCAGCTGAAATGGTTTTCTACTGAGACATAATGTTTACTTCCAGCAGGGGGCGCCTAGCGGCTCAGAGAGCTTAATACTCCATTGAGCTACATTCAAATCTCAGTAGGCCTACGTTTTTTTTCTTTCTGGAGACCTTATATGTAACTTTTTATATGTATTAATTAAAAGGATTGCTGCATAATATATAAATGCAAATCCATCAAATCAATCTCTATAAAACGATTTTTAAAAATCCGTATCTTCTACCCGCAACCGTCTGTGATTGGTTTATCCTCATCAGCGCAAAGAAAAGTAACAGGTAACGTGCATTTACCACCGCAGCAGTCGTCTTTACCATAGTAAACCTGTTAACAGTTGACAGAAAATTACTGAAAAAAGTGGGTGGATGTGATATAATGATAAATGATGAATATTAATAGGAATGTTTAATATACACAGTAAAATGTGGTTCATTATATACAGTGAAAGAGCATTTCTCTTGACGTTATGTTTTAATACATATAATTATATATTAATTAGACGCAACATCCGGGCCCCTAAGCCCCGCCCCAGTGGAGAAGGGTAATGCCCACTGCCATTCTATCCTCTTATTCTGTTTCTACATCACTGAGACGCATCTGCATCCCATCGCTCTAGCGCTCGGAGAACAGAGGGTACAGGGATGATGATGATAAACATACCGAGAAACTGTGTCATTTAGAGAGCACCTCACTTTCAGAGAGCCGACCACTGAGGCAGAGACAGCCTTATAATAGGGCTACAGTCTGCGGGACGCAAAAAGCAGCTTGTGTAGACAAAACAACGAGGGACTCTGTGCGGAGCTTACAGGGCATTAAGAGCATCAACTAATCCTGTGCATGGCCAAAAATATAAAAACGCAGAGCAAAAAACTGACTTTTGCGTGAAGAAGGAGATGTTCGGACTAAAGAAGACGCAGCAGCAGTAGGACTGCAATCATTCAGTGTTATTAAATTTTTTAGCTATTGGAAATGGGAGCTTTGACAAGCCGTCAGAATGCAGGAGTGGAGGAGGTTGATATACCATCCAATTCTGTTTACAGATACCCACCCAAATCCGGTAAGAATTATATTATATTATATTATATTATATTATAATAATAAAATATTGTTCTTGTTACTTTGATATTATATTAACAACAATCTATCTAGAGAAATAATAGATAAATCCAAGCTTGTTCAGATTGTATACTCTTTTATAATTATTGGGAAAAAATGTGTACAAATTTACAATAAAATTGGCTTGTACATTAGTTAAGTATTTTTCTTGCTTCTTCTTGTAATTGAAATTGAGAAGGTCCTTCTGTACATTTGAACTCCAGAGGGCCTGAGCCACCACCCACTGTTTCTTGGTCAGCAAGTCTGTCTCTGAGAGGCACAGTAGGCCCATAGATGCTGTCTTTATATTGATATGGGGCCCATTATTCCAGTGGTGCCGTGTCTACAGTCTACCGAAATACACTTTAATTAAAGTAAATGTCTTGGATGATTTTGTACTCAGCATTAAACTGATCTAAAATAAGAGTGTCCATTGTATGTAATAGGAATTTATTGTGACCATGTGGTTTACATGGATGCTTAGTGTTTGCAACTTTACAGATCTTCTTTATGCACCAAGAGCTTGTAACACTCCAAAGAGAAAGGAAAAATTGAAATCGCATCATATGACCCCTTTAATTTACTATGTACATTTTTAGATAAGAGTATTTTCCTGTATTTTTAGAAAGTAGTTAGTTTTATAATGATTGTTTTACAAATCTTTGGAAATTTGAGAAGACATGTAGATGAGAAGATGAATGTCAGTGTGTTAACCACAAGTAACCAGATATGTGCAGCTTGGGACTTGTGCCTGATTCTTGCTACCTCGTGCTCCAGTTTCAAGCTTGTTCATCTATCTACCCTTGTCTTCCCATGGCAGTTGCTATCCTCTGTCTGCCCTTGAGCTTGTCTTTCTTTAATCTATTGGTTCTCCAGTCTGCTAGATCTGTCTTCATTTTCATTTTGAAACCTTTCATTGAGCCAAAACATCACTTTGGAGGAATGGAGGTTTTTGCATCTATATATTCTTTTTTTACACCATTTAAAATGTGTTCTATTTCTACCTGATCTGACATTAAAATTACTTGGTGTAATTCAGTTGAAATAGTGAAATAAATTTTTTTTATACTTAAAACCAGTTAATTTGTTTTTACCACATGATGTAACTATAAAGCATATTTTGAATAAAACCTTTTTTGGGTTCAGCACATTTACAATCAAGCTGATGTGCAAAATTCAAATCAGGAACTATGTGGAACACTCTACATGTGACTAGATGTGCACGTATAGGTGTGTGTGACAAATACATTTTGAATTGTTCAATATCTGTAACATTTGATTTGTTCGTTGTCATGCAGGGAGTTATTTTGCTAGCCATTTTATAATGGGAGGAGAGAAGTTTGATTCAACTCATCCTGAAGGCTTCCTCTTTGGTGAAAATACTGACCTCAACTTCCTAGGCAACAGACCAGTAGTGGTAAGATTGTTTTTCATTTCCTGGTAACATAGATTAGATGCAGCCATTTTGACTGATTTTTATAGGAGGTCATGAAACCACTGATTTTGCTCCGTTCATTGATTTTTTACCTTGTGTGATCTCATTTCCAGAAATGATCCACAACAATATGCCTCATGACTCATTTTATTTAATTACATATTGATCACAGATATTTTAAAAATAGTGATTTAAAAATATTTGTATATTATTATATATAATTTGTATTTTACATTATTAACATCTTTAAAGACATTTAAAAAAAATAATTATTTAAACATATCTTCATGTTTAATAATAATAATTCATATCATAGTCATATCATAGTCACAAGTCATACTTTTGCAATATACATATAAATATTTATATTTAAATATGATTCATGAATCTATTTTAAAAGTCTTTAAAATATATATTTTACTTATAATTCTGACTCCACTTATGAGGTCTGCTTAGAACTGTTACTTTAACTGGATATTTAGGTTAGTTTAATGTGAATTACTGTATGTTGGTGGAAGCTTCTATAATTCACAGGATTATACATGACCAAATGTCATATGTAATTGTATAGCTGTTCTTATATGCTGCTTTGCTTTTTCCTGATCTTTATCCTGATATGTACGTTTGGCTGCTAGGCCCATCCCTCAGCAGACAGGCTAGTGATGCTGTGGATTTAAGCGATGGCTTACCGCAAGTAAAACAGAGATCCACATTCAGTCTGAACTCCAGGCTGGGGGGATGGGTGGCGACAGACTCACCCAGTGTTGACCCACAAGCGAACACACTCTTGATGCCTCTCTGGCACGTGGGCATGCCTGTGCATTGCACTTTTCCAGGGCAAACACACATACATGCATGAATCAGCACAACAGCTTGTTCAGAGATCAGTGTACATCACCTTCATTGTAATGTGGCTTTGTTTCCAGATTATATTTCAGGTTTTGAAACATATGTGATCAGATATGTGAGCTGATAAAACAGGACAAAGTACTAATCGATAACTTTACTCTGACTCCTGACCCTTGTGATTTGTAGTTCCCGTACAATGCTCCCCCACCTCAGGAGCCGGTCAAGACCCTCCGCAGTCTCATCAACATCCGTAAAGACACTCTGCGACTTGTCAGGTGAGATTTTCCTCGCAAATATCTTTATTGCACCTGACAGAGCTCTTAAAGAAATCATGTGATGAGTTCCTGTATGGATGTATTTGTTAAAACAACACATTTGGGTGGAACATGTTGAAGAGATTGTTCCTTTTTTAAATAGCTAGCAGCAGGCTTTAGTTACGTTTACAGCCATGGACCATGATTTGCAACTTGCTTGTTGGTTGCTACTTGTATTTTGTATCTAATTTTATAGAGCATCTGATTAGATTAAAATCTGTGTAGTGTGGGATGACCCTGTTGAAAAAAACAGCATATGCTGGTTAGGTATGTTTTGAAGCATGGCAGCTGGTTTGAGCTGGTTTTAAGCTGGTCCTGAGTTGGTTATAAGCTGGTTATGAGCTGGTTTAAGCTGGCCATGTGCTGGTCCTAAGCAACTAGCTCCTGCTCAGGACCAGCTCAAAACCAGCTTAAACCAGCTCAGGACCAACTAAGGACCAACTTAAACCAGCTGCCATGCTTCAAAACATACCTAACCAGCATATGCTGTTTTTTTTCCAACAGGGGAGCCAACAGTTTTTCCAGATGAGAAAAAAAGTAAATTTCAAATGCATACTTCAACTAAAGGTTAATTTGTTTAGTCAATTTTTTAGTTGTGCAGTAGCATTGAGATAGCTTCAAAGCTAAAAGACATGGGCCAAAAGCCACAAAAATGTTATATTTGTTTTTATACTCTTTTTATAGTCACTTGTGAACAAAACGGATGATACATTTATTAAATATATTATTTATCTTTCTGTGTATTAACATTTTTTGAGTTTTAAGTTTGTAATTTTGACTGCAGATGCAGTGAAGACATGAAGCTGCCTGGACAGGAAGTTGGGAAAAGCCACAGCTGCTATAATATTGAGTTTACCTTTGATGCCGACACACAAGTTGCCATCACTATATACTACCAAGCCATTGAAGAGTTTCTCAATGGTGTGCCACTGTAAGTTAAGCATTTAAGCACACACTTTGAGTATTCTTTTTGTGATTATTTATTAATAAAACACTTCAAACTCAGCCTTTACCAATTGACCAGAGAGCAGCAAGTTGGTAAATGACATCAAAGCTCGAGTTATATTGCTCTGTTCATTGTGTGTTGTTGACAGATACTTGCCGCAGGACAGCTCTCTGCATTCAGAGACGGTGCATTTCAAACGCGGCGTCTGCCAACAGTTCTGTCTGCCCTCTCATTACGTCAACTTATCAGAGTGGGCAGATGAGGAGGTAGTACATCTGCTAGCTGTGACCTTTTGTGTCTATGTGTTTTTTCAGGTTATGCAGGTTAAAATAGGTCAGACTGAATTCATCTGTCTCATTAATGAAATTGTTGAGCAATTCTTAATGCATGTCCATAGAGCACTTTGATTAAACCTGCTAATGTGGTTTATTGCTACAAAGCTTTTGTTTGACATGGATAAAGACATCTACCCCATGGTTGTACAAGCAGTAGTGGATGAGGGAGATGGTGAGTTTAATGTAATTGGATATATTATAATATATATGTAGAAATATATATATAAAAAAAATATTTATAAATATATTGGTCCATGTTTTTGTTGTTGTGCAGAACACTTGGGACACTCCCATGTTCTTCTTGCAACCTTTGAGAAGGTATGCTTTTTTGTGTAAAAAAAGAAATGTTTTGTATTTTAACGTTCAAAAAGTTTGGGGTTGGTAAGATTTTTTAGAAAGTTTTTGAAAGAAATCTCTAAAATCTCAAAAATACAGTAATATTGTGACATTTTATTTTTATAGCTGTTTTCTGTTTGAATATATTTTAAAATATAACTTATTCCTGTGATGCAAAGCTGATTTTTTAGCAGCCATTTCCAGTCTTCAGTGTCACATGATCCTTCAGAAATCATTCTAATATGCTGATTTGATGCTCAAGAAACTTTCAAGAAAATTTCTTCTGATTATTAATGTTGAAATCAGTTGTGCTGCTTAATATTTTCGTGGAAACCATGACACGTTATATTTTTTGGATTCTTTGATGAGTAACAGCATTTATTTGAAAGATAATTTCTTATAACAATGTGAAAGTATTTACTGTCAATTTTGATCAATTTAATGTGTCCTTGCTGAATAAAAGTATTAAATTCTTTAAAAAAAATTATACTGACCCCAAACTTTTAAACAGTATTGCATATTTATAAAAGAAAGACTTAGTACATTTTTCCATTCATACAATGTTCCACATTTGCAAATAAGAATACAAATAAGGACTAGGCTAAATGTAAAAAGGTACTATTTCTACCTGATCTAACACTAAAATTATCTTTGTTGTTGTAAGCTAATGTAATCAGATTGATTCAGTCATATTAAATAATATTATTGGCATAATTAAAACCAGTTTAGTTTATCTAACAAAAATAAATTTACTTGTGACAATTAGTTATTATATAATGTTGCTATGTTTTTCTCCTAGCATATGGATGGAAGTTACTGTGTAAAACCTCTGAAACAGAAACAAGTGGTAAGGGCCCTCTTATTATTTATGTAAAAAACTTATAGCTATCTTATAGCTTACAAGAAGGGCAACTCATATTAAATGGCTTTTGTAATATAAAAATCTTTGATTGTGGCAAATTTTCAATAAACCTCTTAAGCTTAGCTTGATTTTATCTTAGGTGGATGGTGTCAGTTACCTTCTGCAGGAGATCTACGGTATAGAGAACAAATACAACAGTCAAGAATCAAAGGTAAGTCATCGTCTACATTCACAAAAAGAATCAGATTCAAGGACAGTAGAATGATTTAAATTACCAAAATTATTAATATAGTCAATTGTTTAATACACTTTTTTTTTATTCCATGTAATATAGTTGTTACTACTCTCTCCATATCAATTTAGAAGGACAACATTTGTTACTTTTAAGCTTTCATTCATTAATTAGAATCAAAATATAAAAAATGACACACTCACATTTACAGGTGGCTGAAGATGAGATTAGTGACAACAGTGCTGAATGTGTGGTGTGTTTATCGGACGTGCGGGACACACTTATCCTGCCCTGCAGACACCTGTGCCTGTGCAACGCCTGCGCAGACACACTGCGTTACCAGGCCAACTGTTGCCCCATCTGTCGACTGCGTAAGCACCAACCCCTGTACTGAACTCATTCAACAGGACTCTATGATTGAGATTATTATATTCATGAAAATGTAATTTCGCCTAGACTGTATTTGTGTTTATAGTGTCTCATACAGTACATGAATGTTGTGGCGGGTATTTCATTGAATAAAACATTGGATATACTGACAATAGTTGATGCTGTTTTTTTTGTTTTGCTTCAGATTAAATATTTGACTCATTTAAAATGTATCCTTTAATTATTTCCTATAGCGTTTCGTGCCCTCCTTCAAATTCGAGCGATGAGGAAAAAACTGAGCCCACTCACACCTACTGGATTCAACCCTGTCATCACCTCACAGACATCAGATTCAGAGGAGCGCTCGGTAACACACTATGTTTGTTTCAGAATGTTCATACAGAGCTTTATTCAGAATAAATATATTTAAAGCTAAATAAAATGTATTCATACATTTGAAGAAGCTTTTCTGAGACCCAAATGTCAATGTCAAATGACAATAGCTTATCAGGGGTCCAGTATAAATACTTTCATAGAGCCAAATGTGAGTATGGTTGGCTGTGATGAGTACATACAACTTTGTTAGGAGCATTAACTTTAACCCTGTAAAGCCTGACTTATGAAATTATAGTCAGAAAATCATATTTTTTAAAAATGAAACAATGAAATGTTTTGTTGAACCTTGTCAAAATAAAAAAATAAATAAAAAAATGATATTATACTTGAGGAGGAAAAAAACACCTATTAAGAGGCACAAACTGAGCAAAAATATGCAATTTGGTACAGTAAGATGAAATTCTGGCTGTAATGTAAATCAGTGACATCTTTATAACAGAAGACTAGTTACATAAAATGCAAATAAATATCAGTTGTCCCTCTATATCTCTCAATAATATGTCTTAGTAAGGTGATATTTAAATGCTTAATTTTTATGATCAAAGCTCTGTAGTTTTTTATTGGGGGGGGCAAAACATAATGCAATGCCATACAATGATGATTGAGAGATATACAAATAAACGTTCCTCAAAAGCCTGATGTATCATGTTTGATATTCACACGTCATGATTTGGTTTAAATGATAAACTTTTTTGCTTCAGTTCGATAATTGTACAACAGTTGTTTCAGCAAAGTTTTGATCATGTTGATCATTTAGGTGGCCTTTGCATATTAAACAGGATACATTAGGGTTAATGGTTTAAGTAGTCGGACACTAAGTTAATTTAGGTGCACAATTTAATGCAAAAACATACAAATGATCTGTACACACCGTCTATTCATACTAAAAGTGAAAATGTTGTTATGCTTCTAAACTGTATTGTTCACAGCCACATGTATGTTTACTACAGGCATCAGAGCACATCCCACCAGGCTATGAAGCTGTGTCCCTGTTGGAGGCCTTGAATGGGCCCCTGAACCCGTCGCCATCTGCTCCTCCACTTCAGGGCCTCACCAGGGGCCATGTTTCTGGATCTGTGCCCACATATGGCAGTGATAGCCACCACACGCCCGCGCGCTCCCTCTCTCCACTAGAACACTCTGTCAACCCCAGTCAGAATGTGAAACACAAGAAGAGTGGCTCTAAGTGAGTGAACCCTAACTGAAGCATTGAATGGTGTAGTATTTTCGGTATTACTGTCAAAAACGTGTTATTTAATGTCTACAGAACATTTGTTGGGTGTTATTAAAACACTTTCCTGTCAATTTACAGCTTTTTTTGAAGGTTAAATTATGGGCTTAGGAAGCAGGCAGATAAATGAGTCATTGCTAATCGTGTATTCTGGGAACCCTCTAGATCCCTCTCCCAGAATTCCTCAGTGCTGCCTGAGGAGGAGGATGAGAAGTCATGCAGTGAGTCTGAAGTGCAAACGTGCAGGAGAAAACTGCATGTAGAACAGCAAGAGGTACATGCACTACAGTATTTATAAATTTTTTATACATATTATTTTATGCACTTTTCATATACACTGCAAAAAATGGCTTATCTTACTTAGTATTTTTGTCTTGTTTCTAGTCAAAATATCAAAAAATTCTTAAATCAAGATACTTCTACTAGATAAGCCAAATGACTTAAGATATTTAGTCTTATTTCCAGGGCGGAAAAAAATAAATTAAGTGCATTTTGCTTAAAACAAGTACAATTATTATTATTATTATTATTATTATTATTACAGTGGGGTAAGTAAAATACTCTTGTTCGCAGTGTATTTGCATTTGTCATAATTTATCCATTCAAAATTTTGGGGTCAGTAAGAGTTTTTGAATGTTTTTAAAAACCAAAAATACAATAAAACACTAATATTGTAAAATATTATTACAATTTAAAATAAACATTTTCTATTTTAATATATTTTAAAATGCCATTTATTCCTGTGATGGCAAAGCTGAATTTTCAGCAATTTACTCCAGTCTTCAGTGTCACACGATCCTTCAGAAATCATTCTAATATGCTGATTTGATGTTCAAGAAAGTTTCTTATTATTATGAACGCACAGAATTTTAATAATATTTTCATTTGTGTATTTATTATACAATGTCCAGTCTGGAGTGACTCCTGAAAGTGACAACATCACCCTGTCATCCTCCGGGGCCATAGATCAGTCCTCCTGCAACGGGACCCCTCTCTCCTCCACAATCACCTCCCCAGAGGGTACAGCATTACAGCTAAATCTAACTCACTGAAACACACACCAGAGCTCACTCATTTACATTTGTTTGTCTTCCTGTTCACTTCCTGTGCTGTTTAGACCCAGTAAGCAGCAGCCTGGCCCAGTCTGTGATGTCAATGGCGTCTTCTCATAGCCAGCACTCTGAGATTAGCACCGACACACTCTCTTCAATGTCCGGATCCTACATGGCTGGTGCTGACGGAGAGGAGGCCGCAGAGACCCCAGCAGAGAGTCGAGCGCCTTCCCAGCATGAGGGTGAGGTAAGGCAGTTAGAAGGCCTAGAAGCAGGACAATTCATTACTTTTGCTTGCTATGCTTTAGTTCATGTTAATATTATAGTTTTTACCACCTGAAAACAGGAATAAAAAAATAAAGTTACATTTATGTTTGTAGAGTGAGTGTTGCAGTCTTTTCTAGAGTCGTTATTTTGTCTTTATTGTGGACTTTTTTTCTGATTGTGCCCTTTTATTTTTATTTTTATTTTTAACTATTTTCAAAATTGAAAAGCAGGTGCTCAACCAACTGTAGAGGAGGTTCAGTTTATGTTTGTTGAGTGAATGTTTCAGTCTTTTCTAGAGCTGAAATTTAGATTTTTTTTGTTGAACTTCCTCTACAGTTGGTTGAGCACATGTATTTCAATTTTTAAAATAGTTAAAAAATAAAAAATTAAATGTCACAATCAGAAAAAAACACAATAAAGACATAATAGTTATGCTGAACGTCAAACTATTTCTTATTCATATTTTATGATTTTTAAAAAATCCCCTTTATGTAAAACATTTTGTACAAAATGTGCTTTATAAATAAATTTGCCTTGCCTGTTTCATTGGCTAGAAATTGCTCTTTGTAAATGCAAATCTCTATTAAATGGTTTTTAAAATATAAATAATAATTAAAAAAGAAAACAACTTGTCAACAATAATTGGTCAAAGGTTATCTGCCAAGAGCTGTTCGTGCAAATGATATATTGTGTCCATATTTACACATACAGTATTTATAGAGGCCATATTTACATGTGTCCACAGGAAATCCCCAATGAGGCAAAAGGGCATAACTTTGTGGCTGCCATTCTTGAAGAACAGGATTCAGAGGTGAAACATTCAAACAGCCAAACATCTTAAACCCAGCTATTTATTTTTGATTTATTATTTGCTCAGCTCTGTGCTTTCTTTCTTAGGGAAATGATGTGACTGAGGAAGATTGTGCATCTCCCACCAAAGAACATGGTAATTGTAACCTTAGCTACTGGCAGTACTCATCACGACACTTTACACTAGATTAAAGAGAAAACACTGCAATGTAGGTGGTACTTCATCTACAAGAGCTTCTAAATCTGCCTACACACTACTTGATGAATAACTTGTGTTTGCAGGTGAGCCAAAGGTCGCTCACTACAAATATAAATATCACATGACTCATTTGAGGTTTTATTTAATCAGCCCACATACAAGCATATTTGGCATCTGAGTTTTAATGAGTATCCAGCTTTCTACTTATTATTTTATTATTTATTTTATTTTTTAGAACAAGTGTGCACTAATGCTATATAATTTTTTGAGCAACTAATTGTTAATTAAAAATAGCTTGATGAAAAAGCTGGTATAAGGGATTCAAGTTTTGCTTTTGTTTTCTTTTTTTTATTGTAACTAATTGCCATTTTGCATAGAACTTTTTAATCTGTTTCTTATTTAATGTATTGTATGCTTACTAATGTGAGGAAATGAATGTCAAAGTGTTTGTCAGTTGTATTTTCCTGCACATGCTGATTGCATCCGCTCGCTCTCACCTGAGTATGTGTGCATCCATCAACCGCAGTCATTACTAAATGGCTGCCGAGTAGCATCCTGCACCCCATCGCTCTGACCCCTCACTGCTGTGCTCCACTCGGCTGCTCTGCCCTGCCTCGGCTGCTCTTGTTTGACCTCTGACCTCGCTTGCAGGTGGGCGCAGGAGGAGTGAGGTGCCTTGTCCAGAGTTTGACAATAACAATCAGGGGCAGTCTGACACCCACTGTATGACAGGCCTGGACAATGAGCAGCCTCCTGACGGCCGATTCGCTGGTGAGTGGCAACCTCTCGAACATGGACTTTCTGATTGGAAGGGATTGGGTGAGGCGGTTTCAAGGTGTCCCATTTAAAACAGCAACTGGCTCTAAAACACTATTGGCTTTCTCTGCTCATGCACGTCCTTACTTTGACCCTGCTGTAATTTTGTGTAGCGTTAATTGGTACAGTGGCCATGCCCTTTAACCCCCCTCGTTTGTGTGTGTTCATGTGTATGTGTGAGTTAATATCATGTATGACTTCTTTCTATCTCTCTGGGTCATACTAATAGCTAAGTTCATGTTCAGTGTCTGCCAGCTCAAAGTAGCTTTGCATCTCCCTTCATTTCTACCTTCATCCTACGTTCTTCCCTCTTCTGCCAGCATATTCTGTTAATCTCCAACTCTTGGTTACTGTCATCCAGAGAAAGCATTCTCTCTGGAAGGACAAAAATTAAGCTTTTCACATGATAGTAAAATATGATTCATCATCATCATATTTCTATTCATCATGATTACTACACAGTCCAAAATATACAATCGGCCCAAAAAGTATTTGGACACATAAGCTACACTTAAAAGTGTCAAAATTTAGATCAGGGGTTTTTGATATCACAGACCTTAGATATGATGATCCACTTTCAAGGGACCCCCTTTATAAAATGTAATTTTTTTTGTAAATATTGACCCATTTGTATTGTACATAATATTATCAAAGTGTGTAAAATGCTATCTGGAAAATATTTACCCTTTGAATTTGTTTTTTTTACTAGAACAAAATAATTGTGATTAATCTCACGTTTTGCAAATGAACGGTCAAATTCAGTAAAAGTAAACTTTAAACATTTATAATATAAAAAAAAATATTATAATACATATAACATAATATACATTTACTTATATTATTACACTTTTAGACTATTTTTCACTGAATGTTTGTGGCCCCTTGGGGGGAGTCCTTGAAAGTCAGTTTAGAAACTCTGAATTTTTGTGAAATGCTTTGCTTGAAAATTATGCCATGTGGTTTGATATTTTATGTAATGACATTCATACATTTTTAAGTGCTACTTAAGTTTTCTTATACTGTTTGTGGTCACTATACGTAAAATGCCCATTCAAGTCTTGCTTTTAGGGAGAAAATGAAAATCACTTATTTGAATTGGTACTTCAAAATTGAACATCCCTGTCATTAAAGATAAAAGTTTCCAGTGAAAGTGCAGTTTTTTCTTCAAAAGGACACTATCATCTTCTCATTATCTCTAAGCATCAAGCTTCTCCTTTCTTTCAATCCGACTTTCATTTTCTGTGGATGGCTGGTTGATTTTCTTGATGTGCTGTAAATGTGCTGTGTTCTCTCTCTTTTCTGTCTCTGTTTTTCCTTCCATCATTTCCCATCTCTCTTTCTCTCTATCTTGCTGGATGTCTGTGGAATGGACAGATGAGGACTCATGTCCTGTTCACATTGAGGAATAGGTACGGAACAAGTTTAAAGACAATGCACAGAGGTCATGGATTCACAAAGGCGTTTCAGTCTTTTGCCATTCACTGTATCATCAGTGGGATCTGCCTTTTGACCTCTGAGGGTTAAAAGAGCATTTCATCATTTACTTAGGATGCATGGTGAATATTCAATGTGGGATAATTCAGTTCACAGAAATCTTGGAGAACAATGGATAAAAGTGTCTTGGCTTGCATGTTGGCCATGATGGCCAACCGACAAACAAAAAGTTTGAAGCAAAAACATTCTGTTCCTGAAGAAAGTTGTTTTAACATTGATCTCCAAGAGATGGTCCAATTTGGGGGAAAGGTCCAGTGAGGTGTTCTTTTAGTTTCTTCTTTATTTCATTTTTTTCCTAAACCACGTTTCCACATTCCCATCATTATTTTACCCTATGGTCATACCTTCTTACATTCTCTTCTTTATGTCTTATCACACGGACTCCTGTCTGTTAGGTCTGTTATACCTCGACGTCTATCGTCATGGACGGGATCCTTTGACTCACCATGCGTCCACCAGCAACATCAACCTGGAGGAGCAAGGGGTCACCAATGAGGCGGCAAACCCCAAGAACAAATGTCATCGTGGTCCCCTAGCTGTGTGAAATCCTCAATCCACCCAGTCATAGACCTACTCCAATCCTGAGAGGAATATCTGCCTCTTTCTTCATGCCACCTCCACCCAAACTTGTGCACACACCAATTACTCGTGGATCAAATCCTAAATGCAAACCAGGGAGAACTGACTGTGTGGTTTCTCTTCTCCATTGTGATAGATGTCATGTTTTTAGCGCTCTTTTGGTATTGACACTTGTGTAAAGCACCACGTTTACACCAACGCTTCACTCCCTCATGTGTACAAATGAAGGGATGCCTCAAGCAAGCTCTCCTGCTGAAAGGCTGGAAAACAAGGACATGATGAAAACTCCAACCTCTGATCCAAGCAGCATTTCAGTGTTTATCTCTTAGAGAGCAGTCAAACTTCGTGTCAAGGCTGTGCGACTATGCTTTTTAAAGTCAATAATCAAATCCTGCTGATCTGAATCAACATCAGATCAGCAGATGAACTTGTACTATTGGAAATCTGCCCACAATACCCAAGATACCAAAATATTAAGAATACGATGGAAAAGAGTGAGATGAATTTTCAGAACTGACATCAGAACAATCAATCCTTCACGATATGAACTTTAGAGCAATAACACATATTTGCTCATGTTTCTGCCCTTGTCAGTTTGCTGCAGCTCACTTTGAGCTTTACGTACAGCCCTGCATGTTACAAAGACACAACGCTACTGAGCTGCCTAACTTGCATTACGCATCTGGCCACGGAGATGCTACTGAACTGCTTACTACCAAGCATTTTTGAACATTTTTATAGGAAATGGAAATGTCTGGGAAAACTTGCACCTGTGGTCGAAACTCAGATTGCTACTGTTGATGGTATGTTAAATGTCATAAAGCTACTTTTTGTGTGTTGTTTAAAAAAAAGTGTTCATTTCACTCTAAAAAATGCTGGGTTAAATATGGACAAACCCAGCGATTGGGTTGTTTTCAACCAACAGTTGGGTTAAATGTTTAACCCAACCTTCTGGGCAGTAACCCAACCGCTGGGTCAAAAACAACCCAATCGCTGGGTTTGTCCATATTTTACCCAGTGCTGGGTTGTATTTAAAACAGGCATTTTTTAGAGTGTTATTTCTTAAGGTACAATTGAGCATGTTACAGTTAGTCAATTTGTACCCAAGAGTTGAAGCAAAGCTGAAGTAGCTCTTCAGAAGTCATTTTTGTTATGTATTCCTTTTGAAAAGTGTTGCACTTTCCTATATAGGGATCCTTAACTGAAAGTGTTTACTTAGCTCCAGCAGTCATTATACATTGAAAATGGAGGAAAGACTTTAAAAAGTGTGCCACTAACTTGAAAAACAATCAGCAACTTTCAGTTTCTCGACAGTTCTGCCAAACCGAATTCATAGTGTTTAAACTTGCACTTTGTTTTTAACAGTGGTATGTTAGTGGTTATTTTACTTTACGAAAATCTTCTACTGATCTGTGTGTTCTCTTTTCAATCCCTAAAAGGGATAGTTCACCCAAAAATGAAAATTCTGTTATCATTTTCCCAAAATGCCATTTGACCCCATTGACTTGTTCCACAGAAGAAAAAAAGGTCATACAGGTTTGGAACGACATGAAGGTGAGTAAATGAAAATAATTTTAGATTTTTGGGTGAGCTATCCCTTTATGATCATTCCTACAATTCATTCATCTTAGCCAGTTTTTTGATTCATTAGCACTTGTCTAGACTATCTGATTGAAAAAAGGATTCACAGTACAATCAAATAGTGATTATAACTCTCTTAAAATGTCTGTTGTACTCTGAGAACCAACAAAGCTTTTCCTTTGTGTGGAAAATGTTTATTTTTAATTTTTTTATGTTAGCTTAGCTCTTGTTATTGTTGTAATAGTCTGTTCAATGTGTTGTTTTAGAATATGAATGGTGTGAAATTTCTCCAAATGGGATTGTATACATTACACATGCACTAGTAGATTTTCCCTTGAGAGCAGATATGCGGTGCATGTGGTAAGCGCATGGTAGTTGCAGTCAGAAAATAGACATCCTCCACCTTTACATTTGCACTATATGTTTAGCCCTTCCACACTGAGCTTGCACACTGTGTGAGCAACAGGTACTGAGTCACAAGACAAGCAATACAGCCACATAATAGCACATTGTTGTCTGCAGGCAGTACAGATAAACTTAGCCATGCATTGAATGTTTTACAGCAGAATGTCACATTTACCTGCAGAGAGAAACATCTGTAAAGTAACATGCATAGAGCATGGATAAATTCAAGGGGTTTTCTCCAGTTTCGTTATCTGTATTGCTTTTGTTCTGTCCTCTTTCTGCACCAGGAGGAGTGACTCTAAATTAAACCTACATGATGGAATGGGCTGCATCAATTCACTTTTGTAGAATGAAGATTACAAAATGTCAAAAACACAATAAACTTTTTCTTAAAAACAAGATTTGTTTGGAGCATTGTAAAAACATGTTTTACTCTCTCTCTTTAACTCCATTTTTACTCTCTTTCTCTTTCAAATTTACTGTTCAAGTGTAGTTGCCAGATATTTACTGTAAAAAATATTGTGATAGACATTATGGGATGTCATCTTAGAGTCTGTATATTTTGTGAAATTATATAATCCATTAGTTAGCTTAGTAAAATACTAAATCTACTTTGTATCTTATTAATAACCAGCATCATTTTACAGGTGGTAATATATGAATATAGGATATTAATTTTACAGGCGGGTTATATGATGACCTAAAATTTGTCAAAACTGGTCTTTCCGTGAAGAAAATGTGACAGAGCACTGTGAAGAACATGTACATTAATTAAAAATAATAATAAAAATAAAATAAAATAAATTGAAAATTTGATAAAAAAAAATACTGGAGTGTTTTACAAGAAAATACTTTTTCTGTCTTCAAAATATCACATTTGAATTTCTGAGTGGAAATTTAGATAGATAGATAGATAGATAGATAGATAGATGGATGGATGGATGGATGGATGGATGGATGGATGGCAAAGCCAGTCAAAGATTGCCTCTACCAACACATCAATAACAGCAGAATGTTACATTTGTGAGGAATAATGGCTTTCATTATCCTATGAAAATGCTATATGGTGCTCAGGGGAATGATGTTCTCCCCTATTATTGCTAATGTCCCATTCATTTTAATCTTGCACTGTTACATAATCACAGGCAGTGAGTGGGACCAGTTTCCAGTCGTCTGCTAACCAGAGGTGGTCTCACACTGAGAGTTGGATATGAGTCCTTTTCCTGTCTGTGTTTTCTGTCTATATATTTTTTTAGTAGGTGAGTAAAGCTTTGGTTCTTTCTTTAATGCATAGACAATCATCAGTTGTTCTAAAGATAACTACCCTGTTTGCATGGATAAATTGCATAGTTTTCTGAGTGGAAATTTAGATAGATAGATAGATAGATAGATAGATAGATGGATGGATGGATGGATGGATGGCAAAGCCAGTCAAAGATTGCCTCTACCAACACATCAATAACAGCAGAATGTTACATTTGTGAGGAATAATGGCTTTCATTATCCTATGAAAATGCTATATGGTGCTCAGGGGAATGATGTTCTCCCCTATTATTGCTAATGTCCCATTCATTTTAATCTTGCACTGTTACATAATCACAGGCAGTGAGTGGGACCAGTTTCCAGTCGTCTGCTAACCAGAGGTGGTCTCACACTGAGAGTTGGATATGAGTCCTTTTCCTGTCTGTGTTTTCTGTCTATATATTTTTTTAGTAGGTGAGTAAAGCTTTGGTTCTTTCTTTAATGCATAGACAATCATCAGTTGTTCTAAAGATAACTACCCTGTTTGCATGGATAAATTGCATAGTTTTTAAACATCTTAAACAGTTATTTACATATTTACTGGATGCAGATGGAGTGTTTCCTAAACGAGTATGCAGTAAACAAGATGTACTGGAATATTTAAATCTTACCAGAGACTATGAAAAATTCACAACTTGTCGTCCTGCACTGGACTGGCCACACCCCACCGTAGTGTATTATGATATTGACCTCTACGGCATCCTTTCTATGGTATGACTGCAAACAGCCTACAAATGTTCAAGTGGTACACTATTCTGTGCCTGTTTTATACACACACACACACACACACACACACACACACACACACACACACATATATATATATAAAGTTATATATATATATATAGCAGATACAAAAATCTCAGGTCTTTGTATCTCTTTTATGGATGTCCATGGTAAGTGTTAAACAGGAAATCAGCAAATCTTTAGAATTTCAGTTATTTCTGAATTACGATGCATAATTGTAAAAAAAAGAAATAGTTTAAAAGAAATTAAAATAATTTAATGAAATAAATTAAATATTTTATAAATTAAGATAATTTAGCCACTTAAGGAATTTATTTATTTATGAATTAATTTTTGCTCACCTAGAGTTGGAAGAACGAACGAATCTCTTGGGATCCTAAAGATTTCTGTGGCATTAAAAGTGTGATTTTGCCAAAAGAGATGCTTTGGAAACCAGACCTCTATGTTTATGAGACGTGAGTATATACAAATGATATATCTAGATTGTTTTTTCTTAATATGCTTAATTGATGATTTAAAAAAAAGTAACTTGTTTATTAACAGTATAATATTGAGAGGAATTTTTTACATACATGTGGGAAAATCTAAAATGTATGATTTATCTGGTACGATTTTCTTGGACATAAATCTAATTTTACATGCCATGTAGACAACTTAATTTATCAACATGTTTTAGTGCAGAAAAGGAAGATGGACCACTGAACCCATATTTGTATATTACTCATGATGGAAATGTGAGGATGGAGGATGACCATAAAATTGTCAGCACCTGCACAATGAATGTACACAAATTTCCTTTTGATACCCAAACGTGCCACATCACAGTGTCTTCAATTAATTACTCAGGTGAGTGCACATTTAAAAAGTAAATATTCCTTAAAAATAAGGATGTATGATATTAAAATCTGGCCATACGACAAGTTCATAATTATTTGAATGTTGCCAGATAATCAATAAATGGCTGATATTGGTACCAGCATATCGTGCATCCTCTTTCGGTTTTAAGCAATAGCTTAAACATTGAACAAAAGCCATTTGTTTAATCACGGTTTTAATGCATTCAAACTCGTGTCTTTCACTTGCTTGTCTTATAATGTATCAAATAATGTAAAAATTGTCTTATTAATCATTGTATCTTAATGTTGTTGCTTTCAATCATCGAAGAATCCTTGCACTCATTTAGTGTCACACTGTACCAAGCTGCTTTCCTTTATGTGAAACAGATAAAGAAATAAAGTTGGTTCCTGCCTCCAATTCGTCAAAGGCGACAGGTTGCTCAAGAAAGCATATTAACAGAAGAAGAATGAGCATTACATCGCTTGCTCACCAGTGGATCCTCTGCAGTGAATGGGTGAGAGTTTAAACAGCTGATAAAAACATTACAATAATCCACAAGTTATCCACACGACTCCAGTATATCAATTAATGTCTTGTGAAGTGAAAAGCTGCACGTTTGTAAGACACCAATCGAAAGGGCATTTTAACTTTTAACTGTCACTCTTGGCCAATATTCGAGTCCATAATCCATAATAACACTTCCTCCAGTGAAAAAGTCTAAAAAGATCCATTGGTGAGCAAGTGATGTAAAGCTAAATTTCTCCAAATCTGTTCTGATGAAGAAACAAACTCATCTACATCTTGGATGACCTGAGGGTGAGTCCATTTTCAGCAAATTTTCATTTTTGGATGGACTATTCTTTTAAATACTATATTTCTTCTTCTATTCCAGAGATTATAGCCTCAGATTTTTCACCTCCCTATGATCTCTCTCATCTTTCATCTTTAGATTTCAGTCAGAAGGATGCCCCTGATGCATTTCATCAATTTTCAGCTACCTATATCGTTTTTCCTCATTTTGGACCTAGCTTCTTTTTTCATACCAGATAGAGTGGAAAAACTGTGCTTCAAGGTGACTGTGCTACTGGGGATCTCTGTACTTTTGCTCATCCTAAATGACATTCTGCCATCCAAATCTCACAGATGTCCTCTGATAGGTAAGTGAGCTCAGTTCAAGGACATTTTTCTTAATATAGAGAAGTATTTTCATATATCAGAGATACGTTTAGGTTGTCTTTATAGTTTTCATATAAACTCCCTCTTCTGTTCTGTGCAGCTGTGTATGTCATTGTCATCTTTTCTTTTATGTTGCTGAGTCTTCTGGAGACAGTTTTGGTGATATACTTAATAAATATGAACTCGGAACAAGACGATAAGGGGGTTCAGAGACCTGAAGATCACAACTCTGACACAGGTATACACATCTTGCACACATCACAACGATAAGGTTCTGACTTTGTAGTCATGAAACTGGGTTTTTCTTTCAGATAACCGGAAAAGAAACAGTAATGATCACATCTGTTACTCTGGAGTGGAAACTCCCCTTGAGTCTCTGATGTTGAAGGAAATATACAGCAAAGAAAAAATGAACGATGTGCAGCTATTGCAGCTGACCAAACAGACTCTTGTTCCTGAAACTTTAAAAGCCAAAACTGCTCAGATTTACTGGTTAGGAATGGCCAAACGTATTAACAGGGTTTTCTTTGTGGTTTATCTCATCTCAGTTTTTCTCTTTCTTGTCTTCATCTTTCGAGAGTGGAAAGTTGAGTAATTTCAAACTCTACAATTGTGACGAATGCTCAAATTAGGGATCAGTATTACATATACTACATTACATAACAATATTATGTACACTCTAAAAAATGCTGGGTTAAAAAGGGACAAACC